TATATAAATATATATATATATATATATATATATATATATATATATATATATATATATATATATATATATATATATATATATATATATATATATATTTTTTTTTTTTTTTTTTAATTTATTTATTTATTTATTTTTTTTTTTAATGGACTCAGCTATGCACAGCTAGGGCTCTATTTTGACAGTCCATGCGCAAAACGGAAAGCGCAGGGCGCAAACGCATTCAGGGTGTGTCATAATCCATATTTCATAATTTAAGGATGGAAAAATCCTCATTGCGCTGTGGTACATGGTCTAAAAGAGTCGAGTTTATTTTATTAATGAGTTATAGGTGTGTTCTGAGAATAAACCAATCAGAGTCTCATCTCCCATTCCCTTTAAGAGCCAGCTGCGTCGCGCCATAAGCACATTTGCTATTTACATGACGTAAAGTAAGTTCACTTCCGCTTTTGCTCTCGTAAATAGGGAAACCTTTACGCACAGACATCAATTAGCCTATAAATAATTAATTTCGTTTGTTAAGCGCAAAGATTTGTTTCAAAACTATTTCTAATATTCAGTTCTAATTTCCACCAAACGAATAAATGAACAATAATAACGAAGTGTGCTCAAAATACTGAGTTATTTCCAAATACACCTGCTATGCCCCATATTGTATAAAATCTGACAGGTGGATAAATCTAAGCTTGTTTTTAATAAAACAAATATAAATATGGATATAATAAATAATACTGCTAATAATGATAGCAATTTTACAAAAGCAAATTGAATAAACTGAAAAAGCCTCCCGAGATGAAGGATTCAAGGTAGTGGTTTTTAAATTCATGTAAGCTAGAAAATAATATGTTTTGTAATATTTTAATTCTTTATATTTATATCCTATATGTCCTTATCATATCATATATATATCCTAAATATTTTAATTTTTTTCATATGTAAAGATATTTGCGTATTGCTCTACATCTTATGTGTATTAAGCAGCGTGTAAGCCAGGTGCACTCTGCGCCGGACTTTAGACCGGGTTTGTTCTGGTCTAAAGAAAAGATTATTACAGTTTCTCAAAATAGCAACGCGCCAAAACACGCCTGCTTTTTTAGACCAGCACGCCTATGGGCGCACATATGTGCGCAAATGCATTTGCTATTTAAAGAGCGAAAAAAGACTCTTGCGCCAAGCAGAAACTAGCAAACAAGTATTGCGCCACGCCTTGCGCCACATTGCACCGGGTGTATGATAGGGCCCCTAGTGTTTTTCAGCCAATGATAAACTTCCAGTGAAAGCTTAATGTGACTTATTAATTTTATAAGGTTTCTTTTTACAGCAACAATGTTGTGATGTAATTACAATACGCTCAGTTAAATAGACTTAAGCATTCGTTTAGTTGTTCAAGCATAAAATGAGATGAAAGCCCATTTAAACGCAAGCATCGTCAAGATGAGTAGAGCGCAGAAACTCCATTGAAAATACTGGGGTTAAATAAATTGTCATATTTTAAAGACCTGGTTCGGGGAAATGGAATTTAATGCAGTGCTTCTTGTCCGGTCGGAGACCCACTTTATATTATATACCTTTCAGGCAGTGAAGATCACTGATTTTTTTTAAGAAATCAGACCTTAAAGATGGCAATTTTATAAATGAAAGAGTTCAGCGGTAGTGCTGGTAGAAGCTGGCTAAAATTAAAAAGTCTGTCTGCATATACCCTATTGTTATGCTGATGATAGCTGTCTAAATAAATATTACACTTGTGCACCAATCTGCAGTGATTGGTAGACGTTGGACCTTTTCTACAAATTTCCAGAATGAATCATGTCCAATAGGAAATCATAAATGCAATGATAACAAAACAGGACACCGGTCTCATTCATGAAGCAAATAATGCCCCCTTGTTGATGAAGTGTATGGAAATTCAGAAAAAAAAAAAATATATATATATATAATATATAATTATTATGTACAGATGCTAATCTGGCTTTTTCTTCTTTTGAAATTTCCAATGCAGTGGCATTTTTGTGATATGAATCAAGGTTTCCCTTTGGAGTAAGGTGGAAAATGAAGTCACCCTCAAATATGTGTGCCTATAATGGGCTCCATGCCTGGGCTTTCATTACAGAGGCATGCCAGTGTAAATAACTGGGTCCTCACTAAAGCGAAGATGATATTTGCCCATAGACAGGAAGTCCAGAGTGGGTATTTGCTCTGTGTTAGTCAGCCATGAGCATGTTATTAACTGTTGGTGTGTGCGCTGGCAGTGGGAAAGAAAAAGCAATTGGGATGCAGCTTGAACAGCTCTTAACTGTAACTTAGAAAGACAAAATCTTAGGGTTCAATCAGTCTTTGCCAGAGACTTGGAATGGATTTAGTGAGGGTGTGAGCGTGTGGGAGGGGCGGGTGTGATGAAATGTTTCCTCTTTCCGCCTGGACCGTGTTTGCTAAGCATGTGTGCCATTTTGCATTCTAACTTGCGTTTTGTTTTCGTCTAACTGGGAGTGAAAAGAGACTGAGTGGTATGAATATCAATGAGGGACATCAATCCTTCAGAGCCTCTTTGGAACATTACAGAAATCTTTTGCCTGCAGTTTGCCGTATAAACTGAGCTTTGGGAAAACAAAACTCTGCCAAATAACTCAAACAGCGGATTGCGAAATTAACTCAAATTCATCACAACTGAAAAGGTTTTGAAGTTTGAGCATAATGAAAAAGCAAATCTTTGGCGCGTTTGGGTATCAGATCTGCCTTGGTTTCTGAATTGGAAATTTAAAAGGGAAATTGGGTGGGAAATTTATTTTTCAGGTTTGGTATCAACATTAACAACTTTTTAAAATGTAAACCACCCAGTACTTGAAACTGTACTGGCTCAGTGGTAAGCACTGTTGCCTCACAGAAAAAAAGGTTGCTGATTTGATTCCCGCCTGGGTCAGTTGGCATTTCTGTGTGGAGTTTGCATGTTGTCCCCATGTTGGTGTGGGTTTCCTCCGGGTGCTCCAGTTTCCCCTAGAGTCTAAAGACATGCGCTACAGGTGAACTGGATAAACTAAATTGGCCTAAGTGTATGTGTATGAATGAGTGTGTATGGATGTTTCCCAGTACTGGGTTGCAGCTGGAAAGACATCCACTGTGTAAAACATATGCTGGATAAGTTGGCAGTTCATTTTGCTATGGCGACCCTTGATGAATAAAGGGTAGGGGTGGGTACCAAAACTTGGTACTTTATTGGTACCGGGGCTAAATTATAAAAGACCGAAGTATTGATAAGCACTGACGTTAACGGTTCTGCTATCGGTACTGCATAATTATTGCTAAATAAACATGACTTGCAGTAGCATAATTTAACTGAGCAACCTTTTCTTATTCGTGATATTTGATATTCGCCTGCTCAGTTGGCAATCTTACTTGAGAAATGCTCGTGTTTTTACCCAATAGTACAATGGCAATGCGTCAAGTATAGAAGCCTTCACAGTTTTTGGCTGTGCGTGTGCACTCAGTTGAGACTCGCGCTAAGAGCACACACAACTCGTAAGCTTGCGAAGTGATGGAGAGAACCAAATAGGTTGTATTTCTTGAGTGGACACCAGCAATGCCCGTTGCAACAAGTTGTTTTCTTGTATAAGCGCAAACAAAAGTAATCTGGCTAAGCATCTATCAAAAGTGCATTAACTGCAGAAAGACAAATAAAAAGTTTTTGACTGCCTAGCTAAAGGTACATCATCCGCATTGTTATGCTAGCAGTCAATCACATAAGGTCCCTCTAAATTAGTATAATTTTAATAGTTTAATAAACACACACATTTGGTTACATTAAAAACATATTTCCTTCTGCAGTTGTCCAAATAAATCTTAAACATTAAAAATGCCTTTTACATTACTGTATTTATAATGCAGCATTTATAATGCAAATTTAGCCAGTAAATAATCTTATAATACACTACGCTTATTAAGAAATTATATGTTCATTATATTTTTACATTGATAACTCCCAAAAACTCATATATATGATAGTGTAAATGAAAAATCTTAAACACTATCTGATTATTTAACTGCATTTTGCAACTCAAAGAGGGTATTTTTAACTGCAGGGTACACTATAAACCAAGAAAGATCCTGACTTCTGCGAGAAAAGTCAAACATGTTGATTTTTCTCCAGAAGAATGGTTAAAAACTGAGAGTTATTTTCCTTCAAACCATTCTACATGCTTTTACTGAAAAAAAGATTTATTTGTTTTACAATTATTAGTTTTGTTTTATTTTACATAAAAAAATGTAATAATCAAATTAAGTGTTGTTAATTCTGTCAATGTCAATGTTTTTTTTAATTATTATTAAAAAAACTACTACAAAAAGTACCTATTAGAGAACTGTTAAAGTACCAAACCAATAAGTGGTATTGATAAAAGTAGTAATATCTTTAAAACTTTAACAATACCCATCACTAATAAAGGGACTAAGCCGAAGGACAATGATTGAATGATGTGAATCTCCATCACCACCACATCCCAATGATGCTCTTTTACATTGTGATCCAATGACTCTAGAGGCCATTTGAGTAAACTGAACTCAATGTTCAAGAAACGCTAATAAAGTGTGTAAACTACATCACTTAAATTCCAGAAAGAATGAAAAAAAATTGCTGTGATACAGTTATGGTTTCTACAGTTACAGTGACATAAAATCTTTTCAGTGACATGGCATTTTAAGGATACTGCCCACACCTCTCTCCTCTTCTATAAACTAATAATCTGTCCGGCTGCACCTTCCATCACAGCAATGAGCTCCAGACTGCGCAAAGAGCATTGCTGGGGAAGACAGGATGGAGAAAGAGAAAAAGAAATGAGACGGGGTTTTGTGCTTAGTGGAAAGGTAGAGGTGATGTCAAAAATGTCAGCGGTAAAGAAAAGTGAGGAAACAGACATTAAAATCAGGCTGTAGCGTTTCTCTGAGCAGACAGAACACCGGCTAACTTACTGCCATTCTGCCATGACATCTCTCTAAGAGGTTTAGTGCAATACTTTTTATGTATATGGCAATGTTTATGTGTTTGGTCTTGGCGGCATAGAGCTGCTGCTGCTGCTGCTGCTGCTGCTACTGCTTTGATTATTAGTGCAGAGCAAGTTCTGGAACTTGTTACTCCCAGTATATTTATGGACATGCCATAAATAACACAGTGATACTGCAAAATCCCATACATGAACCCCCATAGCAGATGGAATAAATGCTTTACAAGATTACTCATTCTTAATGTTATTAAATACATGAACTAAAATTAACAAATGAACCATTTTTATTCTTAAGTGTTACCAAAAAAAAACCAATGTAAAGTTCTGCAGCAACCCTGCTACCATACTACTTCATTACAAAGAAGTTCACAAAGACAGGCAGAAGGAAAGAGTCTGAGGATTAGGAAGAAGAAAAACAAATATTTTAATTGTGATGAGATTTCTAATTGCACCAAGAGAATTGTGTTCCTACACCCTCATCTGTTGATTCGCTGTTGCCAAGTTTTCATTAAATCTCATAAACTGTATTAATATCTGGAGTCTCGATAGCATAAAATATTTGCCTCTATTGAAGTGTTTAATTGTGAAGCAAACAGGGCTAGATCACTCCGGAGATTCTAAAAGGCTTGCCTGTGTTTCTGCAGAACCAGTTCGCCTATCAGGACGGCAGCTTTGGCATGGAGGACATGATGGCCACTATCCCGCGGGTTGTGGCTGTGTCTGCAGTCAGTCCAGGCTGCTCCACTCAGAAGCAATCGAAGGGCCAACAGGGGGCCTCAGGCTCCTCTGAGGCGTTTGAAGACAGCCGCTGTAATGGCACTCTCAGGAAGAAGGCTTCACCCAGGGCGAGCACTGGGGACGACAGCAGCGGCCAACGCTACAGTGCAGATCCCACGGTGATACTGTGTGAGCATGGAGCAAGAGCCGAAACCGACCAGGATGGATACATGAGCGCCATGCAGGACAAAAAGCCCTCAGGTAGTTGAAGAATAAAACTGGAGCAAGCAGGAATCATTGATCTAAGAGAGCTCACATAGAGATCTGTTATGCTTTTTTTTACACTTGATATTATTTATCTAGTGTTAGCAACGCTGGGTTGTCTTTGTTCAATGATTCACGCTGTTTGTGCTTTTATTTGCTTGGTTATGATTAATACTGTGCAGATTTGTTTTGAGCTTTTGCTTGTAAACCCTGCATATTTACAGGGTTAATAATATTGGATGAACAAATTTATCAAGCCAGTTTTAATAACAGCTTGTCCATCTGTGTTCATTTTACTCGTTACTGTTTTAAAGGCATAGTTCACCAAAAATGAATATGCTGTCATCTGTGGCATATCTTAATGTTTTTTCCAAAGCTGTGAGACTTACTTTCCTTTGTGGAACACAAAATAACATGTTTTTAGAAAAAAAACGTTTGCTTTTAGGTTTGCTGCAAACCAAACCAATAATTATTTTTTTTTATCATTGCTTCAGTTGTATGAAAAAAAAAAACTGAAGCATTTTAAAAATAGTTTGTGATATTTTCTCAAATTAGTTTGTTTCACAAATTATCAAAGGTCGTCATACATTAAACAATGACTTTATTTAAATGATGTAAATATTTAGTTTGCACTTTTGTTTGATCTCTTTAAGTCTTATGAAATAGTATTTTCAAAGGAAAAAAGAAAGCGTGGCTATGTATGCCATTACTTTGATTGTTTGTTTCCCAAATCGTATTTTACATTTTGATAAATTGATAAATTGATGATGCATTGAGGAATTGGTTATAAACATTTTTTGTATTAAAATATTACATAAAATAATATGCATCCCAATTGTAAGAGCAACTAATAAAAGCTTGACTTGTAGTTGATCATTTGGAAAAGTGGCAGAAGGTAAATATTTCCAATGAATCATCTGTTGAACTGCATCCCAGTCATCACAAATACTGCATAAGACCTAATGGAACCTGTATGGACTCAAGATTCTAACAGAAATCAGTCAAGTTTGGTGAAGGAAAAGTCATGGTTTAGGGTTACATTTAGTAAGGGGGCATGAGAGAGATCTGCAGAGTGGATGGCAACATCAGCAGCCTGAGGTACCAAGACATTTTTGCTGCCTATTACATTACAAACCACAGGAGATGGCAAATTCTCCAGCAGGATAGCGCTCCTTCTCACACTTCAGCCTCCACATCAAAGCTCTTGAAAGCAAAGAAGGTCAAGGTGCTCCAGGATTGGCCAGCCCAGTCACCAGACATGAACATTA